ATATCAGAGGCTACCCCTGAACACAACATGCCGGCCAGGCCCTGACTAGCGCAGGGCTGAGCGTCCAGAAGCTAGGAAGCATGAAAGGATAAGGCTCTCCGAGGAGCCACTCTAGGAGGGCAGCTCAGAATGGGTGCACAGGTAAAAAGTATGTAATTCCTCCTGCCTTTCAGTTCCAGGCAGAATAAAATTACAGATGACTGAAAACTCAGCCACCATGCTTCAGGAGCCTCTGTGCTACCCCTCACATTGCTGGATCCTACTCTGCTCTTCAACACGCACTTACAGGGAGGCATTCAGGCCACTGTCATGAAATTCCTTCTAATGCTTTCTCCCATTTTTAAAAATGAAAACACCTTTCCCCTTCCTGCACCCTGAGCTGTGCCAGGCCCAGTGCCGAGCGCAAGATCACAACCGCAAGGTGGTGGCTGCGCCAACAAGAGTAACAGGCAACACCTTCACTTGTAGCTGGCTGGAACTGTCCAGGATGGGGAACTCGATCTTAAAGGTGCCATCTGGGGGGACAGTGTAATTGGCCATGTGAGCAGTCTCCATTCCCTCATCTTCACTGTTCCACCTGCTCCAGAAATTGGTCCTGTTTCTCTGTGTCACTGCTATGGCTACATTATTCCTTCTTTCTTCTTGAGTCAGTCGACTGCCATCAGAACGGGTTACCTTCACCTAATTGCCAAAAAAGGATATTTTAAAAACAAGCAACAAGTAAAGGACTTAAGCTCAAATGAATCCAGCTTCATCTGCACTACTCCGGTGAAGCTGCACACGCAGCAGTTACTTGGCAGCATTCTAATTTCTACATTCAGTGGTCCTGAGCCACGTGGCACCAGGACACATTCATGGCCTTCTTAATAGCATGGCTTCCTTGCTACAGTGGCCTGTCACAACACTGCCCACTCAAACCTCTCTCTCGTCCCTCCTCAGCATCCTTTTTGGTTCTTCTTCACTCTCTTTAAACGTAGGAAACTGTTAAGGCCAAATAATCAGTTACCTGTTTTTCTCTCTTCCCTTCTCTCTTCTTACCCCAATGGATTAGCTCATCTCTTTGTGACTGTACCCCAGATCCAAGATCTCCATCCTCACCTCACTCTGGAGGGCCAACCCAGTGCCTCCAGCTGTGCAGGGGTGCCCATCACCTCCAATTCTGCTCACCTAGCACTGGGCAACCACCTGCTGTGCCCACGTCTCCCATCCGCCCCGCTCCCTCTCCACTCACAGCACCCTCGCCTCAAGGCTGCCAGGGGCCCCGGCCCAGCTGCCCCTCCCTCCTGCATCTGGCCCTCATCGGTCCTCCCTGAACAGCACACTCCTCCCACGCTCGGAAGGCTTCTCCCTCTAAATCAAAGATCAGCGAGCCACGGCAAGCAAGCATGCCAAGCAGTATTTTTGTAAATAAAGTTTTAGTGAAACATAGCCATTTCATTTTTCTGCAAATTTGTCATGACTACTGACACACTACAGCGACAACACAAAATATGGCCCATAAAGCTGGAAATGTTTACTGTCTATTCTTTTGCACAAAAAAGATCTATGATGTAAATACCTATAAAAATGAATTCATAACAGTTACAATTCAGTAAATGTTTTCTTCTCACCACCAAAACTATAGCTCTTGGGTCAAGCTCTAGTCCTCCCCAGTCCGTAATTCCAGGACTTCCACATTTTAAAAATTCACTCAAGTACTAAATGTTAAGTCAACATTCTTGGAGGGGAAAAAAGTATATTTGTTGATAATGTTTTATCTTACATATTTTCTAAAACTAAATTAGTCACTTTTTAAAAGTCAAATTTTAATTAAAAGCTTTGACCACCATCCAACTGCTTCAATTCACAAACTCTTCAGCATATCAATCTACATCTAACCAAATGATTTTTAAATAAATGTCCAGTAAAATATTTTTGTTATCATTAGGAACAACAGGTGTAGGAAAACTGGACAAAGGTCATTTGAAAATAATCTCTGTACTTCACATCCTTAAAGATAAAAAGGTGATGTATTTAATTTTTGGCTTAGAATTTTTAGAAAAACACTGAAAATATTATATTCCCTTCTGCCTTATTAAGTCAAATGTGGCAATATGGACCAATACTAAGAATAATCACTCACAGTGGCTGTGAAGTTAAGAGATGGCTTCAAGACAGTGGCATAATCAAAAAATTCAATGATGTAATCATGTTGCTTGAAAAACACATTGGAGCTTGCATTTCTTGAGATAGCTATGGGGGAATTGCACAATTTAGAATACAAAAGTAATACTTCACCTGCCCCTTCCACCCACCAAATCTCTCCAAGCCAGCGGGGTTTAAGAATTTGGGGCACATGAGCCTCATTCCCATAACGGTTCAGACAGGAAGAGACCCACGTTTCCCTTGTGTTCTCAACTTCTGTAAAACACCACACTGCTGCCTAACCCACGGCTAACAGAACACTCTTGCTCTTTCAATAGTTGGATAAAGTTGCTGACATAGTAACAGAAAAGTCCAAATCATTAGCTTGTGTTTTCTTATTAAAAGAGAAAAACACTGAGCCAGCCCTGCCCCTGGGCATGCTGAGATAGGACTGAGACTGGGCGTGGTGGCATGCCAAACTCGAGGGAGGCTGAAAACAGGAGAATCACTACAAGTCCAATCTATGTAGTGAGACCCTATAGACCCTGTCCTAAATACATAAAAAAATAATAAAGAGAAAAATAAAAGAGAAAACCAGCCAGGCACGGTGGTGCACGCACAGCTGCTTGCCAGGTGGAGGCAGGCAGATTCCAAGTTTGAGGTCAGCCTGAACAGCTTGGCAAGCCCCCGGCTGAAAATAAAAAGGCCTAGGGACGAAGTTCACTTCTCTCAGTTCAGTCCTCAGCACTGCGCAAAGGGGCAGGGAGGGACTCTTGGGAGCAGATGGGACTTCAGACTGTGAAGCGATTTTGTAAGAAGACGGCCAGCTGAAAATGTAGGCCTTTCCATGGAGTTTTGAGGAGAAAGGAGTAGAAATGGAAAAAGAAGAACCCTGCAAATAGCTATTACATGTAATTGAAGTACAGGCTTTCAAAGAAAACTAGTTTCACTTTTTTTAGGAAAACATCCTACAAAATAAATAAATATTCATGACAATTTCTTTTTTTTTTTCCCTTGGTGGAACCAGGGGTTGAACTCAGGCCCTTGTGCTTGCCAGGGAAGTGCTACTCCACTGAGCCATCTCCCTGGCCCAACAATTTTAACACTAAACAGCATCTTCAGAAAGGCAACAAATGCAGCCAAATGAAAAATGCTGGTCGTAGTAGAGGAGCGCCAGGGAACTGCACCTGAACAGCTTTACCTGTCATGTTCAAGGCTACAAACCTGTGAGGGATTCTGTCACTGTGGCGAGAATCTCTACTGGTCCTGGGGTAGACAGATACATGTGCTCAGAATACCCATCGGAAAAATCCATTACCTTCTTCATTTCTTCAGCATTAAAAGAGAAGTTTGCAGATCCATTTATCTGTTTTGTTTAAAAGTTCAATTTTATTTTTCACTTCAGCAGTTCAAATTCTAGAAGTAAAACTAGCCTAAGCCACAGTAATACGGCACTTCTGCCTCCATTTTAATCACTAGGAATGGGTAACTACTAACTTGTCTGATTCCGCAAAGCTCTTCATGTTCTTCCATTCATTTTTTGTCAATTCAGTACAGAATTCTATTCCTAGAAAAAAACACACTTAAACTTTCCCCCACTGCAAGTTAGAAAATATCTGCAAAAGTTACCTTAAATGTTTTTGTAATATTTTTCTTTGCTCCCCAAAATGATAGAGGTAAAAACGTAAGTGTGACATCTCCTTTGACTGGCTTCCCGTACGTGTACCTGAAAAACAACAAACACGCTGGAGCTTCTTAAGTTCTGCTTTCATATTTAACGTACTAGAGGAACACAACAAAAACGCTGCTTTCCACACCACGCACCAGCAATCTGAGACAAAGCAGTTATACTAAAAAAAAAGTCCTGCTGCAAATTTCTAAAGCCTGAGCACAGTAAGAAAGGTCTTCATAAATGCTAATCCCCGAAACTCTGTCTCCAAATCGGAAAGACTTCATTAGAGTAACTGACAACACCATGCTTTATCCAGGCCATGACCACCCAAAGACTCCAGGGAAAACACACTGCAAGTGACAGCATCCTATCCAAGTTGTTTTTTTTTTTTTTTTTTTTTTTTTTTAATTTTGCAAATCTCTCCTCCAGAAGTTCAGATCACCCTTGACTGCATACCTGTAAGATCTGGCAACTGTGAAGGTCTTTAGGGTCAGCTGAGGTCACAAGCACTTCAGTGATGAGCTGCTGCGAGCTCCAGTGTGAGCCAGACCCCAGATTCTGCAGCACCAAAACCTGAGTTCTTCTTTTTTTTTTAAATCTTTATTTACTGATTGATTGATGTGATACAGGGTCTTGCTACACAGCTCAGACTCAGTGATCCTCTTATCTCAGCCTCCACAGTGCGGGGATTACAGGCGTGCACCACCACACCCAGGGCACCAGGGCAGGCACAGCATGTGGTAGTGGGGATCAAACCTGGGTCCTGCGCTTTGCCAGGCAGGCACTTAGACCGCCAAGCTATCTCCCCAGCCAAATTGAGAGTTCTTGTAAGAAAATATAACTAATTTTTAAATCCACAACATCAAACTTATCTTCACCTCCTCCGCTACTTTGGCAAACTGTGCTTCAATACTGTGATGAGAACATCTCTTCAAGTAAAAGAGAGGCAATCTTTGGCAAATCATTTTAGTGCCAGAGAGTTTTTTAAATGTGTTTCCTAGTTCCTTCTGACTCTTTGGTATTATGAAAGGATAGGGCAAACACGAAGTCAATTTTGTATTCTGTATAATGAAATGGTAAATGGCTCCTCCTTGAATACTTTTTTTTGAGACATGGTCCCACTGTGTGGGTTGGACTGGTCTGTAACTCACTATATCATAGCCCAGGCTGTCCTCAAACTCAAGCGATCCTCCTGCCTCAGCCTCCAAAGTGCTGGAATGACGGGTGTGCGCCCCTGCGCCTGGCTTTGAATACTTCAATTGAGCACAGAAACAGACTCTCATCTGCGCCCAGTCAACTCAAAAGCAAACGCAGCATGTGCCAAATGAGCAAGGAAAAAATCCACCATTAAAAGTCCCCCCTTTAGAAGAAAAACAGCAGTTAGTTGAAGCACTAGTTAGAAACATTAGCATCAAAATCCCTCACTGAATGGCATTTTTGAAGACTAACATTGCTGTATCCTGTTAAAATATATATAAAAAGCCAAGAGTAGCAGAATACTGAATGCTAAGAGAGGCGTATCATGTGGTAACGTAGGGAGCTTGAAAACAACAACCTCAAGTCATCTCGGAAGCAAATATTGTTCATTTGGGTCTAACTGTAAAGCATACTTAGTTTCCCAAATGCTAAGCAGATTATTGGCATTGTGGAAAAAAGACACTGACAGATACTGTCATAAATAAAATCTGGAAATATTTAAAATAAACTAATCATAAAATAAGGACAAGATTTTTGAAGTAAACAAAAAATATTTCTAGATTTTTTTCTGAAAATAATAATTTTTTTCTGAAAATACCCGTAACACAAAAGATTTATAAAGTAGTACCTAAAATAATAAATCCTACAATTCATGTTTCTCCCCACTGACCTTTTCTTCCATGTAATTTCCAGAATACAGATTCACCAAATATATGTATTCAATGAACTATATACTAAATAATGTTTTTTAATTCTGCTCCCAAAAATTATAGAAGTAAACTAGATATATGCTATGTTATTTTCTTTGGAATTCAGTGTAGTAAGCGGGAAAGAATCTATTATTTATAGCTAGTGAACTAGAGATAATCAGCAGATGTTCACATTAAAGCTAATAATAAACAGGTTTTTAATTCCTTATTCACCTCAGTTAAAAGACTTCAGAACTAACTGGAGAGACATTGGGAAACAGGGAGGTGGAGCTTTTGCAAAAAGGAAGGTGATGGAGAGATGCAGGGGGAGGCCGAAGAAGCTGTGTGGGGCTGCAGAGCTAGCTCAGCAGCATAAGCGCCCGCTGGGCAAGTGCAAGGGCCTGAGTGTGATCCCCCATACCACATAAAAAAAAGCAGCTGTGTCAGGGACACACACCAGCGACCCACAATAAATGTATTCATCATATACCGCAAACAACAGCATTTTTTTAAATGGAACTTGCTGACCTTCTTCAAGAAATGCTGATAATGTCCTGATTATTAACTATAGCCTTGATAGGACCTAAATTCTTTATTATTTACCCAGAGAGAGGATTGTGATAGCTATTATGAAATGCTTACAAAATTACCTCTACCACTTAACAACCATCAAAATGGTAAGCCAACAGAACCAGTCCTTTAAATCAACAACTGGCCTATAACGCCCACGCAACAACTTGCCCTACTCCCTAATTTGGTAATGATACCAAACCTATCACCCACGCAACTCCATCTGGTTCACCAAATCAGTCTCTTAATTGGGTATGAAGATCTTTGCTGTGCCACACGTAGCTCAGAAATGAAATCTTAGCGGTGCGCAATTCACCAACTGCAACCTTTCCCGGTGCCTGGCACAGCACCGGGCACCAAAGCGCAGCAGCAGAGTGAGGCCCCGGCCCACGGCGAGGCAACCAGCAGCAGCAGCAGCAGCAGCAGCAGCAGCAGCAGCAGCAGCAGCAGCAGCGCTGAATGGTGCTGGGGGAGGCACGGCAGCCCCAGGCTGTGCACAGGCAGCCAGGTGGGGAGACCTCCTACTGCAGGCCCGAAAGTGGATACTGTGGACTTGGAAGCAGAAATAAAACCGGGAAGTAGAGTTTGGAGAGCAGAAAAGGGTCAGAAGGGTGTTTTTAAAGACATGAAACCAGAAAAGAACCTCTTAAGATAGACTAACAAGTCTGAACTCCACCCTCAAGGCAGCAGCCCAAACATTTTCACGTAAAAGAGTGACTGCCTTTTAGTTTAAAAAGAAAAGAATCATTAGAGTGTTGAAAAGAGAACAGGAAGGGTAAAACTAGAGTCAGAAAAAAAATTTAAAAACTGCAAGAGTAGTTAAAAGAGAGAAGATACTGGCTTCAACCACGGAAGCAGCACTGGAGACAACAGAAGGAGTTAGAGACGCCAGGGAGCAGAAATCAACAGCGTGGGTTGGTGACTGAATACTGGATTGAGCGAGCAGGAAGAGCGAGTGCCTCTGACTCACAGCTGAGCAGATGGCGGTGCAGTCCGCCAGGTCCAAGACACAGAGGTGCCTCAGACTGCGGGGACAGGGTCATGTGCAAAGTGCCTGTGGCAATGGGGGGTGGCTGGTGGGCAGCAGAATAGGAGGCTCTGAACAGCTGGGGAATAAAGTGTGGCTAGAGACAGGGACTAAGGCGGTCATCAAATTAAGAATGCAGTAGAACCCCAGCCACGCAGAAGAAAACCATCAGAAGATGTGTTAAGGAAGACAGGAGGAGAGCCCAAGACAGGCTCTGGGAAGCAAGCGCTTCTTGCCTTCTTGCGTCAATGGCTGCGAACAAGAAAACCTGAAAATCTCACAATGCACGCACAGGACTAAGCCAGCAGGAGGACTTTGGGACCACAGGAAAGCAGTTGCTGGGAGTGAAGAGGGAGAGACTGACGGCAGAAGACCGACCAGGCTGTGAAGAGACACAGAGCCATCATCAGGGGAGGCCGGAGCTCAGAAGGGGTCGTGCCATAACCTTTAGCGAAGCTTATCTCACTCTTAAAACTTCCACTTGCCACAGAATAAAGAAAAGCTCTTTGTAATCAGCACCTCAGACTTCAGAGATTACTAGTCTGGGATCCACTAGCGTCAACAAAATTTCCTTTCTTCTCCTGAGCTCCTGCCTACTGTTGACTCAATTTTTCCACAACTGTTTCTGGTGTGTTGGCCAGGAAATGAGGAGATACAGCTCCCGCCCTGCACAGCGCCTGCCTTGGGTCCTGGGGATGGGTCTCCCCACACTCAGATGTGAAGCACACCCCTCTCATTGACTTCTGAGGTCCCCTCCACAGCCTCCAGACCCTGACTGGCACACACCCCCTCCATCACCCACTCTACAGAGAACGAAACCAAACCATCCTCACAGAACAGTCATCCTGGGTTCTCCATTTTCCTGGTAGACAGCCTGTCCCAAGTCAAAGACAAAAAAGGAGCTTGATCGTCTTCTGGTCACTTTTGGTTTTCTGGGTGAACACTGGAAAGCTTCAACCTCTCAACACATGTGTGAGCAAATGCATGACATAGCCTGTAAATCCAGCTGCTTCGGAGGTTGGTTTGCAAAGCTCCACAGCTTCAGCTACGGATTTTGAGTGGGCTTGTCCTGCAGTTCTGTGGTCTGCCACACGGCTCAAAGGCAACTCTCTTCCATACTGGAAGTCACCGGCCTAGCTTGGGCACACAGGCGAGCCTCCTGCATCTCCAAGCAAGGGGAGCACCACACACACGGGGAGTCAGAAGGGACTGAATCAGTCAAGGCTTACAATTTTGGATATATCCCAAATGATCTTTTTAAAGGGTTTTTCTGGTGATTACAGAGTTAAAATGAAATCAAACGGGCTCTTTCCTGAACAGACTCGTCATGATAACCCACCCTTCCTGGGGACTTCTCAGAGGCAGGTTCATCGCTCCTCACTGGCCACCACAGCTGCTGCCCACACCCAGATCCACCAGCAGCTGGACTGCTCCGCTCCAGGCTTGTCTACTTCCCGTCCCCAGTCCTTCCGTTCCTGTCTCATGAGCTCCCCACGCTCCCCCAGTTCATCTGAGACCACGCCGCTGCCCACCACCCCCAACTCTGGAGTCCATTCAGTCACTGTCTGCAT